ATAGTATTAAAAGGTAATATTAACTAGATAATAAAACTTATAACTTTATAAATTATTATAGTAAGGAAATAAGGTATAATTTAATAATTAAAAAGTTAATAATTAAATAAGTTTAAAAAGGATTATATATATATTATAGTAAAAAGGTTAAACTATTAAAGGTTTTATTAACTAAGTTATTTAAGCTAGAAAAGTTAAAGTATTAATACTTTTACTAAGGTAAGTTATATCTAGGTAACTAGAAGCTTTAAAAGCTAAGAGAATACAAGCTAATTAAGTTTATAAGATTAATATATAATAATTTTTAATACAATGCTCTTAAACTCAGACATGCTTGAGTATTTGATGAATTCATAGCCCTGGTATTGAGGTAATTGCGAGATAGGGTGGTGGTTGTGTGTTGTCGTTAGTGATCCGATATGCAGGGCGCTTCGTACTTCTTATCTCGATGATATTAATGTAAACAATGGACTTGCAGACTGACTACCTGATCTTCGGAGACACTGCCTATTTATATATGTTTGTATTGCGGCGTTGGTCATGGCTCTCGTTTATTTGACTTTGTAGTTGGAAATGTTATTGGCAGCTCAACCATCAAGATGAAAGTTTATTCCTTGGCAGTGAAATTACTAGAGGCTATTCTTCAATTTGAATTCACAGATGTCTGAGTCACTCTCCGTGGCCGGATGCGTAGTTTTCGCATCTTAGGATTATTGTTGTGATGGATTCGCTACGCCAAAAACCAACAGTCGATGAAGATGGTTATACAGGAACCGCAATCCATTCAGTGTGTTTTGTAGTGAGATAGGAACCTTGCCATTACAGCTTCATCGCCACCCCTAACCATCCTGTGATAGAGCACTACTGGCGAGACCTATAGCGACAGGTACCTACTTCAATGAAACAAGAGTCTTTCTTACAGAGAACCTCAGTCCCAATCAGTAATTGGGTGACTTTACTAGCTCAGACTGTCGACATTGGAAGCTCTTAGGAACGAGGGAGAGACTCAGCCCTCCCCTCTTGGGATGTAACGGGATCTGGTCTTGAAGAAACGTGTTTTTAATGTCTGTATAACTCTACATAGAAACCAGAGCATAAAATAATTCTATATTGCAAGTTCTTGCAACATCTTCCCCTCCAGCCTCATAGGTCGTCCCAGCCTAGAAGTCTAATCTGCCACATAAATCGGTCATCTCCCTCTTCTCCATACTGCCCATACAAGATATATCGGCTATGTGAATCATCTTCTATACAGTCTAGTCCCTTCGCCAGACTAGTCGAACACTCAGGCTTGCCATATCTTGTTTCTGCAGGTGGTGGTCTGACATGTCGCCAGCGTTCGAAAGGTTTATGTCTCCAATCGACCTCTAGGAACTTCCTGTCGCAAGTATAGAAAGCTTCAGTGCCGCCGTCTGTTTTATTCTTGTCCATGTCTTCTTTTCTTTTGAGGTTATGGTCAATTATCCATAATTGAGCATCGAGATCGTGAAAGGCCTGGCACAACAGGTTGAAATCATCATCCTCTTTGTTGATTCCCCACTGGACTTTCCATTCTATTCCAATATTGATTCCGTGCCAGGAATATCTGGGATCAAAATGCTCTCCGATGTCATGGGCGATCTGGGACCAGTTGATGTCCTCGATTTTGCTGGGCTGGAGCACAATGAGATCTTTGTGGAGTTGAACCATAAAAGGCTGTGAAGTGTCGGAAGGGAGATCACCCCAGTTGAACCTATATTCTTGCCTTGCTCCCCTTTCAGGTATTCTATTTGTTCGCTGAGTGGTCTTCTCCATGACTTCCCGCGACTCTTTACAGGCAGTCCATAATCCGATGTCGGCCATGTATCTAGAGACATTCGAATCTCCTGGGCCTCCATCAATAGAAGGGAAGCATTTGCTCCGCAATGGCGCAGCGAGTTGTTGTCTAGGCGGTCGAGCACCCGAGGTCGTGGCGTCAGAAGTTTCGCCATCTTCCGTCGGTTCGGGAGGCCGTAATTCAAAGATCTGGACGCCGGCAACGTCGCGTTGACTAGCATATTCCCATACCATATCCCGCAGCTCTTTAGGCAGTTGAGCAAAACGCGCGAAGCTGGCCATAGTAGATGGATTGGTAGGGGTGCAAAGGTTGTCACCGTAATAGTTCAGAGGATATGAGAAAGTGGAAAACTTGAACAGACGAAATCGAATAGGAAGCTAGGGGGGCAGCATACTTTTATATCATTTTTCAACTTTCTTTTTGAGTTTTGCACAGCTGTAGTGGGAGTGTGTGCCAGTTTGTGATAGGACGAAAGTGTATGATATCTCCCCAGAACGCAAAAGCAACAAGTCATCTCATGTTTGGGCTATGTAAGCCTACGGTAGATAAACTTTAAAGTATAACAGAAAACCCTCAGTTTTTTAAGTATGACTTTGTTCTATCAAAGCATGTTCCTGCTTGTAACACATCACAGAGCAGCAGACAGTACAAAGGGGCTTTTTAACTTCTTCAATGTCAACTGCGTGCCTCTCCAGGAACTCATGATGGCATTCAAGCTCGATGGACAAGCGCGACTTTAACGTTGACATGACAAAAGTGCTTTCTTGACTGCAAGTAGATGTCAATACCTACCTTGGCGGTCTGTTCCATACCTTCGTACAGAAACAAGGAGCCCACCGTGGTCTTTGGTGTTCCCGGTCTGTTGCAATAATTGTAGTGTCAGCCAGCAGTAGTTCTACCACGTCTTGAGCCATTCCAGCTTACCAGGACTGTATATTTTCTGGTTTGGCCCAACCGATCTGCATTATCAATTTTCTCGACAACCAGCCAAAGGGTACGGAGAATATTGCTCACGTTCGACAAGCGGTAACGGGACACAAATCGATCCATACCTACCTCTGCCAGACCCTGTACTCTGGGCGAAACGGCGATGTGGAGGCAAATGTTTGCTACTAGGGAGCGGGAGCATGTGGTCGATAATTGGTGCAATGGTGATTCGCTCCGTCGAAGATGATGAGTTCCAAGTCGGTTTAGAACTAAGGGTCGACTTCAGCCCACGCTATCTGTTTATGGTTTACCGCAAATATTTGGAATGCTTGGTTCCTTGATACTCGCTAAGGCGTCAAATCGGATGCGACCTTGACAATCTAGACCAACGCCGTGTCTTGGCTGATCGGTCACTGCAGGGTTCAGTCGCGGTAGTTTCACGCTATCCAAGCCACAAGACCTCAGCCCTGGGAGGGCTGAAAACATTTGGGATCAAGAGGCGCTTTAAGAGCCATTGTTTGCCCCTTTCCCCAAATTCTCTGTTGCACAAATAGTGCTTTTTCCAAGATCTTCGAAGTAGGCATCGTCAGAAGCACCTAAAGCCAAGAAAAATGCGCAAGTTTGTGTTGTTGAGCGCGCTCCTTGGCCAAACATTGGCGACGTGCTATTACCCCAACGGTATCAACGCAGCAAAAGACTACAAGTACGAACCATGCGGTAACTCGACCACGACGTACTCTACCTGCTGCTACTTTGGCGAGGGTGACAAGTGTTTGGCAAATGGCTTGTGCAACCAGCCTGGAAAATATGACTACCGCGCTGCTTGTCAGAACAAAGACTGGTCCAATTGCCCAGAGGTTTGCATGGACAGTAAGTCACCTCCAAACTGCCCCAAACAGAAAAGACACCTAACATCAGATAGCGGATTCTGGAACTTGGTTTCCACTACAGACGTGCGGAAAGAATAAGTACTGCTGTCCTCCAGCGGACGCAAGCGATTGTTGCGACAGCGGTGCCCAGATCTATACCCTCAAAGCACCCGATCCCAAATCTAGCACCAAGACGAGCGATGCGACAAGTACTTTCCAAAGCGTGATTCGCACGACCATTGTACAGACTCCAACCTCAACAGCAAATCGCGGGGATAGCTCGGTCAAGAAGTCATCTACGCCTGCGATTGTCGGAGGTACAGTCGGCGGTGTTTCGTTCATTGGGTTCTTGTTTCTTGGAGTTTTCTGCGTTTACAAGCGACGCGATCGCCCTTCTACTCCGCACGCGACTGCTGTGACGCCCGAGAAGAAGGATGATGCTCCAAGCGGCAAAGGCAACGCCACGGTTGAGGTCTTGCCTCAGATCGGCGTGGCGGAGGCAGAGGGGACAGAGGGTAACAGGTACACTGAAGTTGACTCGCGAGCTGTCAATGGTACCCGTCCTCCACTTGCATATCCTGAGGACGATGGAATGCCGCAGCCCGCTGATGTTACACTCCTTCAGCAGCCGTACCCTGAGAATGATAATATGCCACGAGCTGGAAGACCAGGGCATGGCCTGCGAGGACAGGTAATAAGAAGGGCAGGAAATGCTTCGGCTGAAGCAGATTCTAACCCAATCTTACATGCTGACTCCAATCCTATTTTACATGCCAATTCTAACCCCGTTTTCCATGCGGATTCGAATCCCATCTTGCAGGCTGATTCCAACCCGATCAATGAAGCGCCTGATGATGCTTGGGTCAGGCCTCGTATCGTGACCATTGCGAAAAGCGCACCGCATGAACTCCCATAGCATTTGGCATAATACTCAAAGAAGAGCAACTGTATCTTACGCGAATAGTGACTTGTTTCTCCTTCACGTGCATGGCATTGCGATCCGATTCACTGTCTCTGGGATCGATTTGCCACGGTGGCGAACATGTAGGGTAGTAATGTTGATGATTTTAACAAGCGGGTTTAGCTCAGTTGGGAGAGCGTCAGACTGAAGTCAAACTTCAATCATCATTCGATATCTGAAGGTCATGTGTTCGATCCACATAAACCGCATTTTTTTGTCATTTCTTCTCAAAGTATAAATCCTCTTTCTTTTTTCTTTTTACATGGGTCGTAGTGACGACGCGGACTTTGTGACTGCCGAGTGATTGCTCCGTATTGAATTAACTTTTGCTTGTGCTGAACTTTATATGTAGCTAGCTGTTGCCTATAGAGTTAAGCTTCAGGCTGCGATGAATGAGAAGACGGTATCTTTTTTCCCAATTTCGCTTATGCTGTCCATGACTGAAAATCCCTCCCTCTCTCAGCAACTTCTTGGTTTGACCCCAGCCCATCTTCTCAACTACCGACGACTGATAGATCGATGTTTACGGAAGGTGACAGTTTTCTAACATGGGGATAGCCACAGGCGCACCAATCAAGATGAATCGTTCAAGTGTACGGATAACTATGTACCTTACGTAGCGGGCTGATGTCCATCAAGTTAACCTTTTGGCTGTTAATAAAATACCTGAAGAGGACACAGTAATGATCCGGCGTAACTTTTCAGGTAGCTCTCATATAATGGCGTAAGCACAGAACTTTGCAATCAATTGCACTGCTCCCTCCATAAGAGCTCACTGTCACGACCACAGGAAGGGCATCCCTCTGTCAAGTGTTGTCAGCCAAAATGTCCTTCTTTAAACAGCTATGCGTAGGTCTCGCCTTCGCACTACCATTGGTACTGGCCCAAAAAGACAATCTTGGACTTGACCATGGCTACATCGACATCGAAACCAACAATTTCAAGGCTCGTATCGCTCGCGACGCTCAAGTCCTGGTATCATTGACCTCAGAACACGACACCTTTGACTTCTTACCATTTGATCTAATTGATCTTCGCGCTCAGAATGGGCAGTATCACTGGGGTGATATCACGTACAGATATCGCAAACAAGGCGTCTCAAAATGGACTCACGGTGATTCTGCTCAAAAGCGGCACCCTGTCAAGAACCTCACCACGGGAACTGCTCTTGCATCATCAGATCTTGGCCCGACACTGCCCAAGAGCCCTCTCCGCATCACTCGGGAATGGCTCGATTTCCAAGGCGACCTGGCTCTTCGTTTCACTGTCACTAACAATGGCATTGACACTATTGAGCTTGGAAGCCTGGGATTCCCAGCTGAGTTCAACAGTATCTTCACCAACAGGACAGCCGAGGAGATGCAAGCCCGCTGCTCTCTTTCAGATCCCTATATCGGTATGGATGCTGGCCACATCCGTGTCACCCCGATCAAAGGCACTGGCAAGGGTCTTGTTGTCACGCCGCTGGCTGGAACTAAGACACCGCTGGAGGCTTATCGGGATCTGGACGAACCTTGGTTCGAGTCAACTGACTATGAAAGCCAGACATTCGAAGGGTTCTATGAGTGGCAGGTCTTCACTAAAGCTTGGGCAGAAAATGAATGGAAGAACCAAGAGCCCTGGAACGAACCAACTTCCAAAATGTTGAAGCCTGGCGAGTCTCTCAAGGTTGGTGTCCGGTTCTCCACATCCGAATCTATTCGCGACTTTGACAACGCCGTCAACAATACTGGAACCCCTGTTGTAGTTGGTGTTCCTGGATACATTATTCCGCGGGACCTACCTGCATTACTATTTCCTATGAGCGATGGTGGAGTTGCTTCAATAGATGTCTCACCGAAAGGCGCCCTCGAAATCGGGGAAGCCGGGAGCTATCTCAAAAAGGGGTACGAACTGACACCCTCATCATTTGCTTGGGGGCGAGTTCGTGTCAGCATCAAGTACAATGATGGCAGGTTGCAGACTGTCCATTATTATGTTACCAAGCCAACATCAGAGACTCTCAATGACCTCGGGAGCTTCTTGACTACAAAGGCTTGGTTCAATGCTTCATCAGACCTTTTCAAAAGATCCCCATCAGTCATGACCTACGACCATGAGAAGGGCGCAATTGTCGAGCAAGATCCACGGGTCTGGATTGCAGGTCTCAGTGATGAAGGCGGCACCGGTGCTTATGTCGCAGCCATGCTCAAGCAGGTACTCCAGCCAGATGCCGAAGAGATAGCAAAGCTGGACGAGTTCGTTCAAACCACGATTTGGGGTAGAATTCAAGGAAAAGACTACGGAGTACGCAAGTCACTTTTCTACTACGACCCTAAACTGGACTACTCTTATAACAAGAAGATCGACTGGACTGCCTGGTGGTCGTGGAACAAGGAGGCTTCGGCGACTGTCGATCGTGCATACGATTATGTTCACGTCACGGTGGCTTACTGGTCCATGTATCGTGTCGCACGAGCATATCCCGAGCTAACAACCAAATCTTGGAGCTGGTATCTAGACCAGGCTCAAAAGACCATTATTCGGATGTACCAGAAAGACGTGTCATACAAAGACCTAGGTCTGATGGGCGAGACAGTGTTTGGGGAGGTTCTGACGGACCTGAGGCGCGAGTTTAAGGGTACTTCAGCACATGCTCTTGAAGAAATAATGAAGGAGCGTGCTTTGCTCTGGAATGCGCAGGATATTCCTTATGGGAGCGAGATGTCGTGGGACTCCACTGGCCAAGAGGGCGTATACTATTGGACAAAGTGAGATCAAAATCTAACGTGCTGTGGTGTGCCTTGCTAACTATGTAGACACTTTGGCTTCAACGAGTCGGCTCAGAAGACAGTCGACAGTGTATTGGGATACACGCCGAACGTACCTCACTGGGGATGGAACGGCAATGCCCGTAGATATTGGGACTTCATTTATGCAGGAAAGCTTCAACGCATTGAGCGGCAGATCCATCACTACGGCTCGGGTCTGAACTCGCAGGTCCTGCTCTCAGCATTTCGCAATGACTCCTCGGACTCCTACCTCCTCCGTGTTGGGTACGCTGGATCATCCGCGCCGCTCACCAACATTAATCAAGATGGCTTTCCCAGTGCTGCGTTCCACTCACTACCAGATACTCTGAAATGGGATGGGTACACCGGTGATTATGGCGGTGGCCTCATTGGTACAGTACTGAACTCTGGCACCTACGTTGCTGAGGACAAACAGCTTGGTATGGTTGCCTTTGGGGGCACAATCTCCAGGGTTGGAGCAGAGTATTCTGTTGAACCGAAGGATGCTGTAAGAAAGAGGATATTCATTGGGCCTTTCAATGTCATGGTTGCTGTTGATATGGGATCCATCAAGAGCTTCAGTTTCGCCCAGGGAGAAAGCAATGTCCACGTAAAGTTGACACAACGGGAGGGTTCGCCCAGGGTGAACAAAACTGTGGTATGGGTTGAATCGACGGATGGCGTGGAGTGGGAACTCGAAGGAGCCGGGAATCTTATGGCGAGTGCTGTTGCCATTGAGAAGGGGCGAGGAGGATGGGTCGTGCCTCTCGATGTCACTCTTACCATTAGCAAGAGACCTACACTTCCGTAGACTCTTTGGGGCCATGAACTCCAACTCTCAATTGACAGTGAGCAACTCCGAGTTCTACGTGGTGAATATGAGCTGCTAGCGGTAGGTCTCAGCTGAAACAGTGAATAATACATCTGAGTCTTGCCGTGGATGGTTTCTCCATAGAACAGGGCTTCAGCCACTCAATCTCTTCCTCAGTGACTCTAGGAATAACCATTATTGTTGCACTATAAAAGCGCGTCTCGCGACCTCGCTCCTTGAAGACCGGAACAAGCAAGACAATTCATTTACACAAAGTCTCTCCCCACTGTCGAACTTCTGATAGCCGTGCCCGATGATATTTCACGTTGTGAGGCCTTATTTGGGAGCTGGCCAGAGCCGCCAGAGCAGCGAAACGCCATCATGGCGATAGATGGTATTTCAATGTTACAAGCGCGGGGGAAAAGAACAAGCGACTTGGGTTTGGACATGTTGCAGTTGTCAAATGTCGGGGATTCCATATTCTAACCCCGACTGCACTAAATGCAACAAGTCCAAATGCCCGAGTTGCAAGCTAGAAGCGCAAGCCGCTTAAAGAACCAGTTTTGGATCGGGATCAATATATCCATTCAGGAACCAAAGACATAAGATACACTTTCATCTCAAGGGATGATTGTCGTGACAGCGCGGTACTTGCGTGGAATTTAAATGGTGAATGCTAATTGACGTACCCGATTGTTGTACAGGCGCCCAAGCCACCACATGCATAGGTACGTAAGTTGACTGACCTCCCCATATATATCACATTGTCTTGGACGCTATATGTCTGACATAAGAGTTAGCTATTAAATGATATACTGCTCTATAGCGTATGGCAAGCTCTGTCGTTTAATATAACCATAAGAGGAAGGTTTCATGTGAAACTTGTGCACTTGTACTGTGCCACGAGTGAGTGCACAACATATTTCTGCCTAATGCGCCGTATCGCCTTTTTTGTAACCCAGTTAACTACATAAGAGTTGCGTTTAACCCAAACCTCAACGCATATCCGAGCTTACGGGGTTGAAATTGAAGATTATTGCGCCATAGAATTTTGACTACTATTTGGGGAATCATTTGTGCACATCCGTGTCAGCGTTAACTATTTACTAACAAGCCTTGAACACAGCTATCAGGGGGGCTCTTAGGATGGCAATGGGCAACAGAACGAGTCCAAAGAGACACAGGCGCGGGCCCTTGCCAGGAAAGCCTGGAAACAACGAAAAACTAGGGCAGCTGGTTGATTTTATCAACAATCAGATCCTCGCAAAAAGATCTGCTCATTCTGAGGGACCCAAAGACCATGGAAGCACTGGGAAACGTTCAGAGCTCACGATGGGGATGATTCAAGCCTTGAACGATATATACGCCAACCCTACAAAAGTCGGGGCCAGAGACTTGGTTGATTGGTACATGACCAATGGTGGTAAGGAGCCGAGACGCAGGTATCAAGCCGAAGTGGTCAATCATTTCTGCCACTCAGGCGAGCTTCGAGAGCTGGAATCTAACAACGTCAATCTATCGTCCACAAAATCTTGCCTTATCGACGACAGAACCAATAATGGTAAAGTCTCAGCCAGACTTGGCCTACGGAAGTCTTTGACACCCCACGAAATGTATAACAGGCTAGTGGAAAAGGTAAGGCCTTCCTCTCCAATATTAAGCATTAATGCGAATCGGGTCATTAGAGATTCCACGAACCACCGTCCAATGGGTGTCCTAAAAAGCCCAACGCGGAGCGCAGACTAGTGCAAGAGAGTGCAGAAGCTTCTATGGGGCTTGAGACATCTGTGTTGATACACGTCTAGGTTTATCATGAACCCAGATAACCATGCATTGGTTAGTGTAATGGCCACGGCTCCTAGGCATCAAAAGAATGCCTTGATACATTTTATCTACTCCTACATTGCTTCTCAGCCTTATATAGGAGTCCTATCCAAGGTAAGCTTGACGCACCATGTGATGGTTTCTCTTCATACCAACCTCTTCACATATAGCCCCAGGGCTTTGTTACATATGAGCTCTCATTCCATCTGCCATTTTACTCGTGGAAATTAACTCAACGGGAGCCCCGAGACGTACGGCTCAGACGGGACGGTAGTCCCCTAAGAAAGGTTCAAGATATGAGCTGTCTTCGAGGCAACTGTCCGACAATCCCCGCAATGGACTACCTTTGTCAAGCACAAATTGCAGTATGCATTACACCCATAGGTGAAGGAATTTGGACAGGCTACTGCTTTGTCGATACATATTTCCAGTCTGAAGATGAGAGACAAAGCGTGGAGGATTATTGTGATAGAGGAGTTCAGCTTGATCCCTTTACCACCGGTAATCACGATGCGGATCTTCCGATTCTCGATCCCGATGACTACTTCTTGACTTCTCTGGAATGCCAACTACTCGTTTTCAAAGACGAATGGATGAACACAGCACAAATGTTCAAACAGAGGGTGGAAACATATGTGATAACTTCGGTGCTTACAGTTTTGAACACAACTAATCCTTGCGCAGGTCGATCAATTTGACTTTGTATTGGCTAGCAAAGAATCTCAGTAGCCGCTGGCATGGTTCCGGCATGCAAGACGCAAGTTGACCGAGCTGGTGGTGTGCTTAGAGACAACCATCGACTGCTGGGATAACTTCACTTATCCAGACCATATGCAAACACGCTATGGACTTCAATCAATGGTGTCTATTGAGCAGACTTTCGCGGAGGTGAGAAGCTGCTTGACGGAGCTTTACAACATCCGCACGCTTTGTGACGAGCATGAAAGAACAGTAAGGCAGCCAGTCGCAATGGCACGGGACGACACTCACACCAACATAGCTAAACCTTCACAACATCGATGAACAATACCGAATTTCTCGAATGCAGGCTGAGGTCGCTGAAAGTACCCAAGTTCTTAGCTGCTTTCTACTCTACGTATGTTTCCTTGAAGATGATAAGCGTGTAGATGTACTGATTTGACTTGGCAGGTCGTGTCGCCCATCACTCTTGCGGCGGCAATACTCTCTATGCAGGAGGAACGACTTTCTGGGACCTACCAAGCTCTCGTTCTTTCTGTTGACGCCCATGCTGATACTTCTTGTTTCTTTGGTTGCGCGGCTGGTTCAGCATTGGGACAAGGTTCAATTGTACATGTCCCATCCAGGCAATTGGGTTCAAGCTCGCAAACGAAATGTCAATGTTGGGATCGTCTAGTAACTTTTGAGAGGGTTCTGTTTCTCTGGTATACTGTCTTTCCTCTATATATCGCATTTCGTAACTCTATTTTCATCAACTCCTTGCGTTGCGACACTCGGTCGCGTCCAATCAAGCTGTAACTCATTCATTGGTACATCCCACAGAATCTTTTGCTCATCCTTCACCACCACAAAACCTGCCTTCTTGTAAAGGTACAAGGAAGCTTCCTGGGTATTCGATGTGAAGAGCGTCACCTTGTCAAACTTCTGCTGCTCTATAAATTCCATCGCTGCCGCCATCAAGCGCTTCCCTACTCCAAGGCCACGAGCACGCTCATCGACGATGAAGCCGCGAATTTGCGCCGTGTTGGGCTGTTGAAGGTGCTCTGCGTCAATCAAGATGGTCCCCACAATCTTTTGAGTGAAGTCGGCGGCATTGTCAGACGGTGTTGACTGAACTGCTGCGAAGACTTGGTTGCGAGGATTGGTGAGTCTTTGGATGAGGTCGGCCCAGCTTTTCGCAAGGGAGGTCTCGAACGCAAGACCCCAGGAATTGAACGGGTGATAGTAGGCGATGTGCATCTCGAGACATCTGGCTAGCAAGCCAGGACGGTATCCTGGCTCAATGGTGATGCCTGATTCTGGGACTGTCATGGTCGTCGCTTGGGAGGGCTGAATTAGGGAGCAAGACGGGTAAAACGCTGCCGGCACTGCGCACAACTTATCAGTGAGAGATGTAAAGGTAAGGCCTCACTGAGGGGTCAGATGTCACACGTCACGTCACTGGTCAATTGTTGCATGTCTTGGCACGCCTTTGTGGTCAATCTTGTCAATGTCATGTCAAAGTGCGGGGTATGTATGAATCGCTTCATCAAAGTCAATTGCTATCAACTGAATAAGCAGCTCTTTTGTACACCAACGCTCCAATCGGATGGCAATACGTCAATAGCAGGCACCAAGCTTTACGTGCATTTAATAAGAGATGAAAGGGTGGAATCACCGCCTTTTGCCCGCATCGCATCATCGCAGGTACCAGAATCTTGTGATTGTCAGAAGCTGTCTTCAGGGTAAGTGGCAGCAGGCTTTTGAATCCCCCAGAAAATTCAACTTTCGACAATCTTCATAAATGAGCAAGTTATGATAAGCCATTTTATATTTAATGATAATATTGGTATTTAAATGCCCGCCTAAGTTCATCAACTATTTATTTTTATCCACCCAAGCTTCTTAAATGATAAGCTTGGTAAGGAGCTTGCCCTGATTGACACCACTGAACAGCTTCATCCAAACCTCAGGCTGCTGCTCAATGGGCGCCTCAATCACTGTCTCGGCAGCCTCGAGCTTGATGCGTCCATCGGCAGTGGCGCCAATGAGCTCGCCAAGAATGGCGGGCACCTTGTCCATGTAATCGAGCATGATAAATCCGCGGATGTTGATTCTGCACGAAATCAGCTCGAACCAGTTCTTGAGAGCCATGGGCTCGTCAGAGTTGTATCCGCTGACGGCACCGCAAACAGCGATATGGCCATGCTTCTTGACGCGGGTCAGCATCGCGTCGAGGATGTCACCGCCGACGTTATCGAAGTATACATCGACCTCATCGGGGGTAGCAGCCTTGAGGTCCTCAAGGAATGTAGGGCTCTTGTAGTTGAGGCACTCGTGGGCACCGATGCTCTTCACCCACTCGCACTTCTCGTCAGAGCCGGTGATGCCAATGACTCGCTTAGCGCCGAGGATCTTGGAGGCGATCTGGACAGCCATAGAGCCAGTAGCGCCAGCAGCGGCTGAGATGACAATAGTGTGCTCGGGCTTAGCCTCGC